TTATTTTAACTTTGGTCAGGAATTTCGATGTGACCCTGAGGCAAAAGTTGTTCAGTTTATTTTTCTGCATAACATAGTTTTTTTTTCTGGATTTTTTAGGATTGTTTTTTTTTTCTTCTTCTTCCTGGGACCTTCCTTGGTCCTTGCACGGGCTGGCCACCCGGGCCCGGGCGGCCCGGCTGGTAACCTAGTATATATCTATATATATATATATATATATATATATCGTATGTTTTTCCCCGCTTACTGCAGTCAGAATATAATCGGCGCCCCTTTTCCTTTTTCGGATACTGCACTTGCTCTTAGCCAAAAGGCCGAAAAATTTATTGCCCCTTGTTTTTCAGTTGACTGGTGACAGTGGTGAGGATTTATCATTGTCGTACTTTTTTCTTTCTTTTTCGGTTAAATTAGACGACGAAAAGGAAAAGTGCGGAAAAAAACGGAAAAAAAAAAGAACAGCTCATGTGTCACAGCAAATTGGCCTCTAAAAGTTGTACCGGCCGGGTCCGGGCCTTTCAGACTTTGTGCCCGGCCTGTAACTGGTGTCTGATCAGTGGCCAAGTCCCACTAGCAGCGTTGAGCTACCTGAACGCCTGAATCTGGACGCTTTTGCCGAGATGTGCAGAAATGGTGTTGAGTTTCCTGAGCTGCACATCTCCACAAACGCGTCCAGATTCAGGCGTTCAGGTAGCTCAACGCTGCTAGTGGGACTTAGCCCCAGGGTAACCCGAACACGACGAAAAAGTGGCCCCCGCCCCCCCTCAAAACTCACCAAATGTGCAAATTGAGAACGCACCTCCTGCTAAAACACGGAAAGATGCACCCACCATACTTTTGTCTTTTTCCACATTTGGCCAGTGGTGCCTGCAGGCCCGAAGTCCTAGTACGACTGTACGAGTTTGCTTTTCGAAGTGACTCTTTTGTGATTGTTGTATAATCACCAATGTGTACTCTTGTGGTCACGGTGTTCTGGTTTGTGCAGTAGGCTGATGCTTTCAGGAGTGAAGAAAACTGCATCGGGCACGACGGGCAGCACGCCTCTTCTCTAATCGTCGTCAAAGTTCAAACGACTCGTCATTGATCGATCGATGAAGTGCTATGAAGGTTGAAACCAGATGTAGAAACCAGATCTACTCGTCTCTGCAAGCGCTGCGGAGCTTGGTGCCCGATCACTGCCTGCAAACGGGATGTTGAGATACACGGTCGCATTGGATAAAGAACCCATAAAATGTATGTTTTTTTCCTCTGTAATAGCGGGAAAAACATATTCCGATCTGTCATTGATCGATAGATCGGAAGTTCGAAACTCTATCTACTCGTTTCTGCAACTTGAAGTCTTGAAGGGCTGTGGAGCTTGATGTCCGATCGCTCGCTGCGAACGGGATACTGAGACGCACAGTCACATTGGATAGAGAACCTCTTTAATCTGTAACCATCGTTCTCAACTTCTCAGAAATAGCACTAAAATCATATTCCAAATAGGTCCATAACGAAAGCCAAGCTTTATCAGAAACAGTTGCAGCTACATAAATGCAGAACGAGTTAGTTTGGAGTTATGAGTGAAAGGGCAATCGAGTCGATAGGTCCCTCCTCCTCCTACTCCTACTCCTACTCCTACTCCTCATCCGCCTCCTCCCCCCCCTCCTCCTCCCCCCCCTCCTCCTCCTCCTCCTGCAGGCACCCATTCAGCTATTCCTGAGTGTTGGCGGCAGACGGCAGGAGTTCCAGGCGCAAACGAATATAGGGTAGGGAAGCTTGCAGTTTTCGGAAATACTATACCACCATCCAATAAGCGAGGGAGATCTTCCATTCCCTATGACTCCTACTACTTACGACTCTTACGAGTTATAAATCCCTTCCTTTCTCCGACTCCTCAGTGTTGCCTGCCTCTCGCTTGAGTGAGATCAACAAGTTATGACACTCGCACTCGCCAGCGTCGCTGTGCTGTCGGCTTCTGCAGCATTGGCAGGTCGCAGACGCAATGCAGACGTGCAAGTTGCGTGCTTTCYTTCTTTTCTTAGAGCAGTGAAGTGAAAAGAACCATTTTCCATTTGACCGTCAGCGGGAGCTGAGCGGGAGCTGGAGGAGGTCGCGACTCGCAAGGACCGGATTCGGCGGATTGGCAGTTCTTGCCGCTTGGGTGCTTTTGGATGACTTGCCCTCGTTAGCAATCATTACCTTTAAGAAAGTGCGTACGAGTCGATACCTGCTTCGCCGCATGCGGTAAGATAAGATAAGCCATACGATAGGAGATACGATAGGAGATAAGATACGATAAGTTAACGTCAGAGATAAGATACGATAAGATGTAATCGAGGAAAGCATTATAACATTGGAGTAATGCTAATATAATGAGATTACGCGAGACGTGAGCTATAAGTTAGTTAGGTAGTTAGGTAGTTAGGTAGGGCATGGCTTCTTTCGTTTTTTGTTCACTCCTTTGATTCCATCTGGAATTCGAACTCAGGTCTGTATTTCAGCAGTTTGGGGGTGCACCGTTTGAGCTAGGCCATCACTTGGGAGTTTTTTTTTTTTTTTTTTTTTTGGGGGGGGGGAAGGAGGGGGAGGGGAATCTTGGGAGATAACAGTTAGTGAGGCCATCACTTCGCAGACATGGCATTCCAATTGCTATACCGGAGGCTTCGGACGCACACGTCTGCGGCTGGTGGTCCGACTCAGGAACGTGGTCCCACCACCGGTGATGACGCCGTACGGAAGTTACGGGCCGCTGTCGAGTGGGTGCGGGACCTTCCTCCTCCTCCAAAAAGCGAGAAGTGGCGAATTAAATGGATGGTGATTCTGGAGATGGTAGAGACGGCGGTGGGTTGGCTGATCCTCACGGTGTGTGGTATGTTGTTGGGCTCATTTGGAAACGACCTGGGAAGACATGTCTTATGGATTGCAGTGGGTCTCTTCTTGTTTGAGGCAATACAGAAGTTGGCGCGCAACTTCTTACATCACTACTACACAAAGGACGTCCCTTGCTCGCTACTCGCGCTGCACTTGGCGGAGAAACCGTATCACAAMTGGTACWTGGTAATCGTCTGGTATCTGCGAGTGGCCGGGGTTCTGCTCCAGGGAGGCCTGGCCGTGAAGCTAACATTAATCAATAAAAAAAAGCACAGAAAGAGACCGGAAGAGATGGTTCATCTTTGTTACGCCGTCGTTTACCTGAAGACTATCTTCTCCATCGTCATCGCCCAGATACCACCATCTTGTGTGATACCTCTCTGGTTCGCGAGCTTCCGTCGCTGTGTCGGGCATTTAATATGGCGCTGTGTCGGGCATTTAATATGGCGCTGTGTAGGGCATTTAATATGGCCTGAGGATGGCGGGGCAGACGATGATGGCAGGCGTGGAAACGCCGGCAACAGAGAGCAGGGAAATGAGTTGGGAGAGGAGGCAGAAGCGAGAGCAGTAGCAGCAGCAGAAGCGAGAGCAGAAGCAGCAGCAGAAGCGAGAGCAGTAGCAGACGCAGTAGCAGCAGCAGAAGCGAGAGCAGTAGCAGCAGCAGAAGCAAGAGCAGTAGCAGACGCAGTAGCAGCAGCAGAAGCGAGAGCAGTAGCAGTAGCAGTAGCAGCAGCAGCAGCAGCAGCACCACACGCGAGAGCAGTAGCAGCAGCAGAAGCAAGAGGAAAGGCGCCTTATTTATGTGGTGAGGGGAGGAGAGGAGTGGGGATGCCAGGAGGGCCTTCGGGGGAGGGTTGTTCGAGTAGCAGCGGCATCGGTGGGCCTCGCAATTCCAAAGTGCGTCCTCGACCGCGGCTCCGCAGAGAAAGGCGCGGCACCCCGACAAGGCCTCGGCTGGCTCTTCGCCACCCGAAGAGGCGGTGCGGCGCAGAAGGCGGCGTAAGCGGGGGAGAGAACGAGATCTGCGAGTGTGCCGGGGCTCCACAAGCAGATACGCCAGCGCCCGCATCTGCTGCCGCGCAAATCCAACCGGGTCCTGCCGGGCAGCCAGGTGGGATGGCTCAACAACCGCAGCAAGGCGGAGGGGCACCAGGTGGGGAACCCGCGCCTGACAACCTCCGCCGGGAGGGCGATCCTACAAACCGGGCGAAGGCAGAAGAGCAGCGGGCGTCGGAAGAGGCAGCCGCCGCAGCCGTTCTCGTCTGGTACGTCCACTGCAAGCAACACCCGTTATTACCTGCTGTCGGGGCTGCCCTCGAAGACGGCTGCTCCAACTGCGGACTGCCCGGCAATTGGTTCCTTGACGTCGAGCAGCTTCTTGCGCTGGCTTTCTCGCCCGGTCGGAAGGACGCTATCAATGCGCAGCACCCTGTCTGGCATTCCATACCGTGCAACCTGACCGAGTGGATGGCCTTGGACGCACTGGGACGGTTAGTCAAGTCCGGGGACAAGAAGGCTTGCAAATTGATCGTTGACAAGAAGAGAGGACGTTTCCAAAAGATCGTGGATATCGTCGGGGATCACACCTCCATGGAATGTCGAGAGCAAGCCGCTGCCATCATCTGGCATCTGGCCAATCTCAAGGCAAAGGGTCTTCCCCGCAATGGTGCCGGAGGCCGTCCGTATGATCCCCTGCGCAGCGTCACGAGCGCTCGGCTGGCAAAGGTCGCGGTCGCCCTCCTGAGCGCCGTGGTCGGCGGCGAGCCGTCGGCCAAGTTGCAGGAAAACGCGATGGCTGCACTTCTTCACCTCACTCATCGCCATGGCGTCAAGGAGTTCGTCTTCTCCGGGGAAGAGGGCAAAGCCCGCATAGAGCAACTGGTAGACACTGCCGCCAAAGCATCGACCAACACCATCTGCTTGTACGCGCTTTACCTCCTGGGCGTCATCGTCTACCCGCCCGAAGAATACGCCAACTACACGGCTCTTGAATCGCTGACGACCTTCGACGATCTAGATAAATGGAGCAAGAGCCGGAGCTCCCGGCTCGCACCTCGGTGGTACCCGCCGGCGCCGCCGCCGGTGATGGTTGACGAGGGCGGCCGCCCACCCGCGGAGAGGGAAAAAACGGGCAGTGTCGAGCGCTTATGGATTGCGCCGGCGCGCGCCTGCTTTCGGGAGTCGCAAGCGCTTCCGCGCTTGATTTCCCTGGCTCTCTCTCACGGCAGCTCACGCGATTCCAAGGAGTTGATCGCCTTCGTCCTCGAATCCTATCACTTGCTGGGAGCTGGCAATCTCTTCCCCTTCGAAATCACGGAGCTCACCCGCCTCCTGCAAGTACGCTACTTCACGTCACCTCCGGAGCTTGTTTTCACGGCCATGTTGACGTGCGATCTGCTCGTATCCTGCGTGTATCAAGCAAACGACGAAAGGCAAGGAGCGTGCGCTGGCCAATTGCTCAGGAGGTGCGGCAGGACGTTCTACAAAGATCTGGTCCGTCTTCAGCTCGACTCCTGGGGTTCACCTGAGTTCAAGTTGGCTAGGGAAGGGCGAAGCACCAGGTGGCGGCAGTTCATGCTCCCCTTCTTAAATGGTAACAGGCCTTCTCCCAGTGAGGAGCTGCTGGAGCAGGTGTTCAGCGCTCCCGCGAGGTTGATGGCTTACCTCCTTGCTCATCACTACAACCTTCTCAAAACGGAGGTTCGAGACGTGTACGAAGACGACAAACGTTATAGAAAATCCGAAAACGTTATAGAAAACAGCGAAGAAAAGCTGTTGGTGGCAGGGACCACGGTCGCCGCGTTTAGATTGGCGGATCTTCTAGACGGCGAGAAGGATGTGCGGACCAAACGCCACGCCTGTACTGCGCTGAATCGCCTGGCAAGAGACGAGGAGGGGGATCGGTCTCACTTCGTCCGCCCCGCATACTGGTGGCATGTACTRAWAAATCGTGTGGACAAAGCCGGCCTCGCAACGTGGCAGCCGTTCCAAGAACTCGTAGAGTTGATGGGGGATAACCTCGATTAACCGGCTTAGCTCAGTTGGTAAGGCTGGGAAGTGGCGTTCAGGAGGTCTCGGGTTTAATCCCCATTGGCATCATGTTCCGTCCTTTCTAAGCTTGGGCGCCTGCCACCCAGTAGAGATAGGCCGACGGTGCGCCAGAGCGGCATTGAGCACAGACTGCTGATGTTCCAGAGAGCCCACCTGCTGTAGCAGGTATGGCACCTCCTGGTGAGTGCAGCTCTCGCATGTTCCTTTGTTGTGGCTGCTATATAGGGTACCACCGGTGGGTATTGGTAGGGTCTTTGGCCATCATGGGTGTGTGTGTGTGTGTGTGGTGTGGGGGGGAGGCATCATGGGTGGATGTCGGGGTTCTGTGTGTGTGTGTGTGTGGTGGGGGGGGGAGGCATCATGGGTGGATGTCGGGGTTCTGTGCGCACCTGGGATGTGGCTGCTATGGGGTTCCCCCAGTGGGTATTGGTACTAAGGGTCTTTGGCCACCATGGGTGTGTGTGTGTGTGTGGTCGTGGGGGGGGAGGGGAGGGGCAGGGTTGTGTGCATTGTGTGAGTGCTGGGGGGCGTGGCCCGCGTGGGAAGTAGATGGGAGGTGCAGCTTCTGGCAAAATGCACGGCCTATGCCTTAGTCGTCAGCCCCCAGGGGCGACCCCGCCCTACTCCCTGACCACCGCCAGTAGGGCGGGGGGCAACATGCATCCCCTTTATTGTGAGAGGTAGCTATGCTTTCAGGAGTCCCCTGTA